CCTTCGACCCGAGCCTGCAAGTCTCGGACCTGCGCTAACAGCTGTTCCAGTGTGTCATTTCTGGCTTGGGGATTGACGGTTCTGACAGAGGACTCCTCCTCGTCTATCCTCCTGTTTTGCCTCTCATGCGATTGCGCCTGCTGTTCGCGCTCAGGGGGCTGCTGTTCGTTTTGGAGTTGTTCAACCCTCGCCTGTTCGACCCTGGGCTGCTCGACTCTTGGTTGCTCGACTGGTGTCCGTTTGAGTTGGGCCGCCACTGCCTCTGCGATCATTCTCTGCATCTCGCTTCTCATCATGGTCACCATTTGTTCTTCGCCTTGGGGCGGTGGCCTTACCTCCTGGTCGAGTCGCCCAGGCTGCCTCCCCATCCTTAGAGAGATTTCGGTTGATGCGTGATCACCTGTCTCTCCGCTCGTGTCCCTCACGTGGCTGGTCTCCCCCTGCGTGAGAACCGGTATCTTGACTCCGGGTGGGGTAATAGGCGTCTCTTCTCCCGTACGCCCTCCTGACGGCGCGTGTGCCCCAAAAGGTGGGAATCCCAGCACCTGAAGCGGTGGTCTAAAACTGGGAATCGGCGGAGGTCGCTTGTCCGTCCATGTTGCCCTGAAGTCCTCGTTCAAGTTTTTCTGCACTCCTTCCTTCTCAGCCATCGGAAGCAGATCCAAGCTAGGTGTAAAGCTCTTAATTCCTTCAAGAGCTCCCCACAGACGGCGCCAAATGATGGGTTTCTTCTCAGATCTAGGACGGTCTAATGAGAGAACGTCCGGATCTGGGACGAACCGGTACGGATGAGCTTAGATCTGATGTGATGGCGATCGAACCGTTGTTGTGAGCCGCAAGAACACCTGCAAGAACTCAACGCCGGAGGGGTTTCCGGCGTAGAGCCTCCGACGCTCAAGTCAGTATATGAGAGAGGTGATGATAGCTGCTATCAGAGCAGCAGCAGTAATGAAAAGGATCTGGAATGAATGGGAGTTAGGGTTTTGGGATTACCTCAGTCCTTTATATAGGAGTACAATATATACCTGAAGCCCCCAAAATGCCCCGGCCGACTTAATGGAAATGTCCAGAATACCCCGGTCGGTTCATATTCCGCCTACTTCCTAGTCAGCATCTAGATCCTTCCTGAGCTTCCTTCTTATCCTTAATTCTTCTGCAATATGCTGAGGTGTGTCAAAGCTATCGGGCACCACGAGCTACAACTCCCTCAGTCGACCTGAGATATTACGTCGAGTCGACTGGGTCGCACTCAACTGTTAGTGGACCCTAATACATCTGACCGTTATCTTACCAGAAGTCGACTTATTCTAGTCGACAGGTGTACATTGACTCGGTCGAGAGCCGGGCTCGACTTGGTAGTTTCAAACCGTGACGATATGAACTGCTATGAGCCAATCGCGGCCATGCCGCGGTTACTGAACCGATGCACGACAGTATGGCTATATCAGTGAGGCTAAGACTCGAACCAGTTCAACGATTTAGAGAGGCTAAGACCCGATCTATTTCGCGAGTGAAACGAGGCTAATAACCAAGTGAACTCAAGTATCGTGAGAGAGTTAGGCTAATAACCGAGTCGATCACACCTATCGTCGAGATCAAGGCCGTGGCGAAGCCGTGATCGAGACAAGACGAGGACACGAACACCCGATCCTTCATCACAACCTTTATTCGCAGCACGGCGAACAATGTGCGACAAATCGCATATCATTCGCA